TCTCCCTCTCTCTCCCCCCCCCTCCCTTTTTTGTCATGATTAGGAGAGAAGCCTATAGCCTGATGCAATGAACGACTAAGATTAAATATGAAAATCTAAAATCATTCTTTTGATCATCGACAATCAGTTGATCATCGGGAATCATCCTTGATCATCAATGGTTGGGAAACTTGAGCCATCAAACATTCGTGTTGTCATTAATGAAAAATTATTATCAATAATTTTTAGGTAATCGATGATCAACATTCATCATCGATGATTGCTTGATCGTCATTGATCGTCCATCCATCATCGATGGTTCAGTTAATGATGACTCCTTATATAGTTGAACTTAATTCTATTTTCACTTCAAACTTGATCATCACTTGTTCAAACATGCAGTAATCATCTCAAACACAAATTATATTCTTATGAATGTTTCTTATAACTCAACAAAATAAATTAGACTCTTGTAAATGCCTGTTACTGCTCAAACAGCAGAATTTGTACGAACAAGGTCCTAACAGTTCGCGCTTTCGAATTAATTTTGAAGATAGATAAGCTGGATTTATAATTAGGTAAATAATAATAGCAAAGAATGTCTTCAAATCGATCAAGTCCATCAAAGAGACATGATCATGCTCCTTGCCTTTTACAAATGCACCTAGATGAAGCTTTTGTTTCGCTAGTCCTCTGCTTCTTATTTACTCTTTTACGGTACAGTCAATATTTTTTAGTCATGGAACTCATGGATGTTACTTCAATCATATAATTGCATTATGTAGTCTGTTTTCCAAGATGTTAATTGGCCTTCGTATCCAATTCATTTCGTTTATAGTACATATTAACTAATTACTTATATATTTTAGAAGAATTTTTCTACTGTTAGTTATGAAGTGAAACTACTGAGAATTTTACAGCTTTGGTAAGAAGTAATAAAGGATTAGCGTAATTATGCTGGTGGTTTTGGAATCTGCATACGGGTAATTTTAAGATCTCTAATTGTATTAATATTGGCAACCTGAGAAGGAAAACAAATAGATAGGCTTCAAGGTGTTTCACATAATTAAAATCAGTAATCTTATAAGATCACTCATGTAGTCTCAAAGATAACAAGATCATCACCTGTGTAATTTCATCACTCCACGAGGTAGGGGCCGTTTGGTTCTTGTTGGTAAAATTGTGTATTTATGACACAACTTGGAAAGTTGTTGTCCACCTCATCACTTTTACTTTTTTACTTTTCATTGTTTGTTTTTGATTCCATTGGAATCATAAAACACTTGTTTGGTTTGCAAATTGAAACTTTAAAAAATGGTTATTGTGTGGTCCCTACTCAAATGATCATATTACCATAGGTAAAGTTACCTCTCTAAAAAGAGAAAAAACCCAAAATAAAAACAAACAAACAACAAATTGTTATGATCAATATATTCTATTAAGAAGTTCTTTAATCCAATAAATTAACAAACTATTGATTTTTAAAAATAAACATGTTGAACAAAAAAGGTTCAATGAGGGGGTCTATTTGCAAGTGGGCGATAGTACAAGATGTCTATCCACAATTAACCCTTTTTGAAAATTAAAGGAGAAAGTCATATCTTCTCATCACGACAACTAGCAAGGATGTTACTAACATTTGACATCAAAGGTTTTTTCCAAAATAACTCATCCAGCGCACAACATCACAACTAAAAATAAAGTTTAGTCATCCAACCCACAACAAAAGCAAGTAAAATAAATCAAATCCTACATTAAAGTTCAAATTCACCCAAATATTCAACAAAAGGTATCATCTTCTATCCAAAATTACTCATCCAACCCACAACATCACAACCAAAAATAAAGTTTAGCCATCCAACCCACAACAAAAGCAAGTAAAATAAATCAAAGCCTGCATTAAAGTTCAAATTCACCCAAATATTCAACAAAAGGTTAGGGTTTTCTATCCAAAATAACTCATCCAACCCACAACATCACAACCAAAAATAAAGTTTAGTCATCCAACCCACAACAAAAGCAAGTAAAATAAATCAAATCCTACATTAAAGTTCAAATTCACCCAAATATTCAACAAAAGGTATCATCTTCTATCCAAAATAATTCATCCAACCCACAACATCACAACCAAAAATAAAGTTTAGCTATCTAACCCACAACAAAAGCAAGTAAAATAAATCAAAGCCTACATTAAAGTTCAAATTCACCCAAATATTCAACAAAAGGTTAGGGTTTTCTATCCAAAATAACTCATCCAACCCACAACATCACAACCAAAAATAAAGTTTAGTCATCCAACCAACAACAAAAACAAGTAAAATAAATCAAAGCCTACATTAAAGTTCAAATTCACCCAAATATTCAACAAAAGGTTAGGGTTTTCGTATCATCTTCTATCCAAAATAACTCATCCAACCCACAACATAACAACCAAAAATAAAGTTTAGTCATCCGACCCACAACAAAAGTAAGTAAAATAAATCAAAGCCTATATTAAAGTTTAAATTCACTAAAATATTTAACAAAAGGTATTTTCTTCTATCCAAAATAACTCATTCCTAGCTTGAATCCTCGTCAATATCATCCCCAACATTTCTATTGTTGTCCAAGTGATACTTCAAGACATGGTCTTTCATCCAAGCCACTTGAGATTCCAATGGCTTCACTATGAATAGCCTAGCTTGCTTTTCATTATCATATAGATGATCGAGCGCATGATCCAATACATGTTGTGGGAATTCACGAAGAGAATATATGCTCTCGGCCAATTTTACACTATAGTGTTGATTGCCCTCTTTAATTGCGCATGCAATTTCTCGCACTTTCTCAAGAAAACTTGTCATCTCCTCGGAATCCTCATTTCGTACAAGACGACGTTTGTTTGCACGTGATGATTTGTCAATTCTAACTTTAGTTTTTGCATTTTTCATCTTGTTAGCTTTCACCTCCGTGGATGATCCAACTTGAATAGGAGAGCTATCATTCTCAACGGGTAAGTCAAGATCAATTACCTCATTGGCTACTCCTTCAAAATTATCGTATGCATTCTTTTTAAACTCTCCAGTTACGAAATCATCTCCGATAATTAGCTTCAAGTCATCGTAGTGCTTCAAAGGCTTGTTCACGTAGTCCTTGAGTCTTGGATTTTTCTACAAAACAATAGGACATATAAGAAATAGTGGCATCAATAGAACAGAATCCATGCCTAATTCCACTAACAAGTATATGCTGCAGCAGATACACACAATATGTGTATCTTGTGTGTATCTGCAGCAGAAACACTTGTGTGTATCTGCTATAGATACACAGCAGATATATGCTATGTATCTGCAGCAGATACAAGTGTATATGTCGTAGATACACATCACATTGCATGCACTTGGCTCCGTCACTAGCCCATACCTGCTCTAAATAATAAGAGCCACGCAAGGAGAGTTGAAGTAATTATGAGGAACAAAATGCGTTCTTTTGAGGAGGAAAATGATTATGAATTACAAAGACAAACCCAGTTTTGTACTTTGATAATTAGCCCAAAGAAATTATAACGTTAAAGAAAAAGGCATCTCATTGTCAAATTAAAGGCAACTAAAAGTAAGCGCGACTGATTTACACATTGAAACCTTTGCTAATAATTAAATTATCACCCTATTAGGATTGATGTAGCATTTTAAAAAGTCTCAAAGCAAATTTATCATCAGTGGCTACTACACTAATTCCTAAAGGGCTGGCATGCAATAAAGACTCTTTTACATGTGTGTATCTGTTGCTGCAGCAGATACACACAACATGTGTATCTGCAGCAGATACACTTGTGTGTATCTGTAGCAGATACACTTTTGTGTATCTGCTGCAGATACACAGCAGATCTATGTATCTGTAGCAGATACACTCTGCTGCAGATACACAGCAGATCTGTATCTACTGCAGATACACAGAAGATCTGTGTATCTACAGCAGATACAGATCTGCTATGTATCTGCAGCAGATACACTTGTGTGTATCTGCTGTAGATACACATGTTGTGTGTATCTGCTGTGTATCTGGAGCAGATACACACAATACTGATTTCGAATCCTCTAGTTAAGACATTAACTTCCTCTTGGACCTGATTTCGAAACATTAAAAACTTATATAACCTTTGATTGATGCTGCATATTTAGAGAAGTGCAATGGATTTAGACACTAATACACAATTCTAAAAGCAGAAAATTAAGAAATTATTACCCTTGCCCATGTGCTATAAACACTTGGATCAAGTGTTATTGTTTTTGTTTCTTCATCCCAACCGGCGCCACTGATTTCATAACATTTTCGCATGTCTAGATAATGATTCTGGAGAGTTCTATAGTGGTTTCCCACATTGTCCTTGGTAAATAACTGATAGAATTTTTTAGTACATGCTTTAGCCGCATTATTGAATGCCCTAGACCGCATACTCTTATCACACTTTCCACCATTCCTAGCTTCATTGGCCAAGAAAGGAATGAGGAAATCATCAAGCTCATCATCCCACATGATGTTTCCAGCTTTCTTCACTTTCACAGTTTGATTAAGTTTTTTTGAAGGTGACGAAACTTCCTCATCTTGTTCACGAGCTACCCTCTTAGACCCACCACTAGCTTCCGATGAGGGGAGTTCAAATGATAATGATCTTGGCGTTCCACTCATGGGTGAACTTTGTGATCTCATTTGTGGCATTGGTGTACCATTTAAAAATTGCATCCATGGTCCACAAGCATAAGGAGGAGGCATCATACCTGACATAGGATTTTGGAAAGAACCATATCCAGATGTTGGAGTTTGGAAAGACCCAAATAAGAATGGAATTTGGGGCATTCTTTCTGTAGGGCTATTATCATGAAGTGCTGCATTTGAATTTCTACTCTCTTGACTCTCTTGACTATCTCTATTTTGAGAATAAAATTTCGGACGAAATGAGCCATTTTGATTCTCCATCCCTGCTTGCGAAAACATTGTCAAAAGAAAAAATAATTATCATCAAGTATTACAAATAGCAAAAAATATATATATTTTACAAAACATGTTGAAATGATCTAGAATCTACAAAACATGTTGACCAAAATATATATATAAATTCTACAAAAGAAAAACTCCAGCAACAGTTAACCAAAAATTGACTTGCCTTCTATTACTATCCAAAGTTCTTCAACAAAGCAAACCAAATCATCTCACTAAACTTCTCTATAGAAACAAAAACAAACAAATTGATCTCACAAATCATACAAATCACAAGTTTAAATTCTACATAAAGCAACACTACATACCACATTGCATACATGTTGAAATGTTCAAATCCTACAAATCATAACAAAGTTTAAATTGCATAACATAGCACATTACAAACATTACATATAAATCTCAAAAAGGTGTCTCATACGTGACTCATTTACGATGTCGATTATAATATTCAATCCACATTTCATATGCAATTTGATCTCGCCGTGACTTCCACTCTTCCCGCGTATCAAGTTGTTCTCGTTGAGTCATTTGTTGTGTAAAATCAATAATGGGTGCATCTTCATTCAAGATATCTCCATCCTCCTCATTTACATGCATAAACTCATTCAAGAACTTATCATTCGGATCAATAATAGCAATATAATTATGTAAAATAGTACATGCAATTACGATGTTTACTTGACTTGGGAAAGGATGATGAGGTTTGGCAGAAAGAATCTTGAATCGACTTTTCAAGATTCCAAATGTGCATTCTATCTTACTACGAAGTGATGAATGCCGAAGATTGAATAACTCTCGACGATTGTTAGGAACTCTTCCACTATGTTCTTTCAAGTGATATCGTACACCACGATAAGGAGCAATGAATCCCGGCATGGTTGGGTATCCAGCATCACACAAATAATATTTTCCTACAATATTGATGAAGTGCATTATTATATTACATATAACCTACTAATATATTGACTAATTTATCATCTTAATCGAATTTTTGTTTATGTCTTACCTTCGTAGACTCTCAAACCATTTGGTGGGGGCAAGGATAGTGCATCCTTAAGAATTGTGAAGTCATTTGCAGCTCCCTCCCAACCAGCCATCACATATGTGAATCGTTTATTTGGTGTTACTGCAGCCAAAACATTTTGTGTGATCCCTTTGCGTCCTCTAAATTTAGGAGCATCTTTAGTTGGCACTGTTGCATCTATGTGTGTTCCATCTATTAGACCAATACAATCCTGAATAAAAAATATCTTTCAAGATCTTAATTAGTATCATCTCAATAGAATAGCTATACTTGTTTATAATTAATATACGTAACTTACCTTGAAAAATGGAAACCATTGACTAGATTCCATAATTTCTGCCGGAGTTTTATTTGGGGCTTGTTTCATGAACCTATCCCGAAGAGAAAAAATAGCTCCTAGAACTTTATTGAAATACCTGCTAATAGTCTCCCCGGAACGTATGAAGTCAATTCTGCAAGCCCTATTTTTGGACTTGTGTCCCATTATTTAGAGAAATGTAGCCAACTGTTCTTCTATAGGAACATGGATTGTGTCCTTCAATAAGCCCCCATCTCTCATCATTTGAGCTAAGTTCATAAAAGGTCCAATACGCATCCTGAGATAGTCTTGACAACTCGATGTACTACTATTTAATATCTGACGCATATGAGAATGTCTATCTAAGTCTCTTACATACGAAGGATGACGAGGAATGTTTGTCTTTTAAGTGGACGATGTTGATATCGGCGTATGAATACCATTAGCATAACTAGTACAGTAACAACAGTACCTGCATTGTTCATCCTACGCACAACTTCATTTCTGTCCATCTTTTTTATATATTGTAAGAAAGTAATTAGTTTTTGAAAGTACAAAAGTAAAAGTAATAAATTGTAGCCTAAGAAAGTTATATACATTCAAGCTTTGAGTAAATATAACATGATTCCTGAGAAATAGTGCTTTGAGTAAATATAACATGATTCCTGAGAAATAGTGCATGAAAAGAATAGTGCTTGAAAATTCCATACAACAAAATGTTAGAACAATATATACTTGAGATTATTTAGAGCCTCAAAACTGCGATTTATCGTTTATTTAGTTTATGTTGGATAATTTAGTACAATGTTAGATCAAACCTAGTACTTTTAATTTGGATTTGTATCCCTAGAATTAAAAATATATATTTTTTCCATACATTGGTTTTTTGTCAAGAGATAAGCATGTATATCTCATGTTTAACTTGAAGTATTGGTTTTTTGTCAAGAGATAAGCATGTATATCTCATGTTTAACTTGAAGTTATTTGCATGATCTTTAGCTATATGAAGTTAAATATGATAAGCATGTATATCTCATGTTTAACTTGAAGTTATTTGCATGATCTTTAGCTATATGAAGTTAAATATGCATGCATGTTTATTAAAGTTAAATTTTTTTTTATTATCATTGTGGGTCAAATATTTAGCCTAGGTTTTGATAATTTGGCTAATAATTATCTTGTAGTTCAGTAACTTAAGTTTTTAAGAGCTAAATTTTTTTCTTCATTGAATTCCTCTGTATTTTTATTTTATATAGGAACCAACTTGATACAACCATTCATGAACAGTTCTATTCTCTAAGTATTTCAACTTACATGGATATTTTATTCCCCCTTCCATTTATTTATATGATTGTGAATACTAACAAAACTCATTCTGTGCAGAACAAATCAATTCAAATTCAAATTAACCCACCCACCATATGTAACGCTGCATCAACAAAGCACAAAAGAGAACAAGCAGAAGACACAAACGACATTCTAACAAGCCCTTCCACATAGAGAGTTCCTTCAGTCAAACATTTGCTGACAATAATACTCTACTTGTGTTGTTTGAGTGAAGTGACGTGACATATAGGATATCTATGTATCAAGAGATCAAAAACATAGATGGAAATTTATTGAGCACACAGGAAAGAATTGTTGTTCATCTTTTTCCATCTAGATTCTCTTGAAAGCTTGTTCATCGTTTCCATGAGCTCAAATTTTGGGAAGAAAATATGTATGCATTATACCAATTGGATTTCCAGGTTTAAGGGCAAGCATCATTCTAACCCATGTATACTAGGAGTTTGGTCTTTCCCATATATTAGAGTCTGTGAATTGCAGAACCTTAATGCACAAAATAATGAACTAGGCATTTAGTAAATCATCTTTTCTCAGCATTCAACACTAATAATCAAGCTAACTTACTAGAAATAATAATGCCAACGCAAAGGGAAAAAAAGCAACCAAGCAGAACAAATCAATTCAAATTAACTCAAATCCAATTAACCCACCAACAACTAATTCAGATTAATTCAATCAAATAACTTAATTTGATTTCCTCCGGTTCAAATTCCACTACTACGAACACGAAAAGACTCCATATGAACCCTAAAATCTTCTCAAAATCTGAGAGAAAGGCGAAATTTGAAAGAAATTTGAAAGGGGTGTTTGACAGATCGAAATTAATTTAAAGTTTTGTGCAAAAAATAAAAAAAAATCGAAAGGGAACTTGAAATAATAGAGAAAGACAATTTTTATACCTCGACCAAATCGTTTCCTCGAGCGGATCTTGAAGCGAAGCAAACGACGAAGAGACGGAAGCTTGGGGTCGCCGGTTTTTCCTTCTCCGACTTGAAGGGAAGCAAACGACGGAGACGGAGACTACTACGGAGGCGCCGACTTGAAGGGAAGCAAACGTCGCAGACAGGAGCGGAGGAGAAAGGGTGGGAAAAAAAAAGCTGGTTGAAAGAAAGAGGAGGTAACCCTAGGGTTTTTTTAGTATTTTTTTCTGACTTGTTGTCAGCTTTCTGCCCAATTCACGTCTTTTTTTTTGTGAATTGCCTTTACCTGCCACATTAGCATAGTAAAGCACTTTACATTATTTTTACAGCTAAAAGCAAACAATTGAAAAGAGGAAAGCTGATAATAGGACCTACTTTTTTACGCTTTCCATTATTTTACATGGTAAAAACATACAACCAAACAGCCCCGTAACCGAATATAGTTAAACCTATTCTAGTTAATGATCTCAGCACGTGCCCAGGCAATGGGCTCCACGCGCGCGACGAGAAAGCGACACCAAAATGCAAAAACCGCCAATAGCAGCGTCCGTTTTCTTCCTCTTTTTCTCATGTGAAATCTCGGTAACCCCATGTGACTTCGACAGCTTTTTTTCCTTTTGCCCCAAATAAAAAATTAAAAATAAATTAAATAACTTTCCAAAGTTAAATTCAGTTCACTTTTCTTACCGGTAGTCTCAGTCGCACTTGCCATACTTAACATTTGTTACAATTCCTTTCTTTTATCTTTTTTTTTTTTACTTTGTTAATGTTTATCATCTTCATTTCACACGAAAGATGTCACTACAAAAGTGGTAAGGTTACAGTTAACAACAATCTTTAGTGAAGAGTTTAATTAATGGAATAAGAATGATAACAAAAAGTTTGATGCTATCATTAACGTGCCACAAGCAGAGCAGAGGAATCTGTAATATATTCTAAACACCTCCAATCAAGACATCTGTAGTCTACCAATCTTCAATTATAATTTTTGCTGTTTAATATACAAATGGCAGGGGATCATCAGCAATTTTACCAATTTCCGATCAGGTCCAAAAAAAATTCACTTTAATGGTTAACAATAACAACAATTTGCCCAACATAATCACATTATTTACAAAACTATCCTCACCACCAAGTCACCCTCGTTCATGTTCTCCTCCCTCCCTCCCTCCCTCCCTCCTCGTCCGGATGACTCGGCGCCATCTCCCGCCCTCCTCCTCCGCCGCCCCCACCGGCTGATTGGAAAAAAACAAATTACCAAAACACCCCTCAATCAGCACGAAAACTGGGACGAACCCGACACCAAAATTGCCGAAAACCGCAATAGCAGCGGTCCGTTTTCTTCCTCTTTTTCTCATGTGAAATCTCGGATAACCCATGTGACTCGACAGCTTTTTTTCCTTTTGCCCCAAATAAAAAATTAAAAATGAAATAAATAACTTTCCAAAGGTTAAATTCAGTTCACTTTTCTTACCGGTAGTCTCGAGTCGCACTTGCCATACTTAACCATTTTTACAATTCCTTTCTATTTATCCTTTTTTTTTTTACATTGTTAATGTTTATCATCTTTCATTTCACAGCGAAAGATGTCACTACAAAAGTCAGCGTAAGAGTTACAGTTAACAAATCTTTAGTGAAGCAGATGTTAATTTAATGAATTAAGAATTGGGATAACAAAATTTTGATAGCTTATCATTAACGTGCCACAAGCAGAGCAGAGGAATCTGGTAATATATTCTTAAACACCTCCAATCAAGACATCCTGTAGATCTACCAATCTTCAATTATACATTTTTGCTGTTAATATACAAATGGCAGGGGATCATCAGCAATTTTACCAATTTCGATCATGTCCAAAAAAAATTCACTTTAATGGTTAACAATAACAACAATATTGCCCAACATAATCACTTATTTACAAAACTATCCTCACCACCAAGTCACCCTCGTCATGTTCTCCTTCCTCCCTCCCTCCCTCCTCCTCGTCCGGAGGACTCGGCGCCATCTCCCGCCCTCCTCCTCCGCCGCCCCACCGGCTGATTGGAAAAAACAAATTACCAAAACACCCCTCAAGTCAGCACGAAAACTGGGACGACGGCTCAACGAACCCGGAGCAGCGGCAGCGACTCGCCGCCGTGCCCACTTGGGCACAGCAGAAGGAATTTCGGATGTCGTCGTAGCTCGCGCAGATGTTGGAGGCGGAGGAGGTGACGTGCGGGAGGAGGTGCTCTCGAACGAGCAGGGACTCGTCGCAGCAGGGAGGAGAGTGGGCCGCGGCTTGGGCAGGAGATAAGCCGCACTCCTCTCCTCGCCTGCGTGAGGAGCGGCGGAAGAGGGGTGGTTGAGGTGGGAAGGCCCGCACCACGAAGCGGCGCGAGGCGACCACCACGCAGACGCCACGTGCCCCGCAGGGACGAATGGCGCGGGCGCGGCGGACGGGAGGAGCGCGGGTGGCCAGCGGCGAAGGGAGCTGGCGGAGGCGCGACGATGTGGGCCGATCCTGCAGACCTTCGACATTTTTTGGGTTTTCGAGGGGCTTTTTTTTTTCCCACCCCCTCTTGAATCACTTCCTTGGGTTTTGTTGCTGAAAGAGAGGGGAAGGGAGGAGAGCGTTCGGAGGGGGGGCAGTATTTGTAGATGGAGGCTTAGGTCAAGGGGCTTGGGGTTTGGGGATAATTACGAAAGGGGTAACGGAATCTTTTCGTGGTCAATTTTTTCAGTCAAGGCCTTCCTATTTTGAATTTTTTTTTTTTTTTTTTTTTTTTTTTTTTTTTTCTTTTTTTTGCCTCTGAATATGATTTTTGGAAGAAGTTTGAGGATTTGAGGATCAAAGCTCTTACAATCATGAAACTACACGGACGATCTTGGTATATATGTATATCACTAATTCTATGATTTAATATTGCAACTACACAGGTGGTCATGGAGTCTTACAATAAGTTAGTGTCTTTTTTTTCTTGCTGATAGCTAGATCTTGTGGGATGTTGGTGGAGCTATTGCAAGTGTTAGAATTAATGCTAGGACTAGTGATGTAGTAACGAGATTAATTACATGAGGTGAATGTGCTTATTTCTTAGTCATTGATGTCCAATGGATAAAGAAATGACACGTATTGTCACGTTTCATAATTCATTTCATAAAATTGGGTTCAAAAAGAACTTGTTCTATAGCAAAACTTAACCCAAAAAAACAAAAAAAAATAATGAAGATTCTAAGTTTAATCTCCTCAAGAAGTCGAGTAAAGAAAACTAATGTGATTTGTTTGAAGAAAAACTTACAAATCTATTGCTTGAAGGAATTCAATGTATAATATGTAGTAACACCCATGTGGAATGTAGAAGGAGAATCAAGTGTGGATCATACCTCAAATACTGGGAGGAGGAGACCATGATTCAAAAATACACCTAGATGAGCTTAATGCAATCTTTCATATAAAAAAGTATTTATCATGGTGCAACTTGATTCACATGCATGAATTATATATAGTTAGTATAAGCGTACAAAAAAAGAACGGTATTGCTTATTTTATCAGGTGTTTAGGTTCTTCTCTTAACCAAACTAGACATTGGTTGTACGTAGTTTCAACTAGAGAAAGAGATTATCTAGAAATAAAAATTGGTCTTAGTTTTCTAGAAGACTAGAAGCTAACTGCCTCTTGCCGCACAGCTCAGGTAGAGGGGAGGAAAATAAATAAAAAAGAACCCCCTCGTCTTGAAAATGAAACATTCTCGAGGGGTAAAAAGAAAATTTTAGCTGAAACAGGAAGGGCTTCATAAACTCCAGCCGCCAATTACTCTTCATTTGTCTCGCCAGACGACAACAAACGGATTAAAAGCTGGATTAGGCGACAAGCTCATATATCAATTAGCAAAATTAAACATCAGATTGGAAAGGTGAAAGTAACCGGAGGTGAGCGTAGTGATGAAGTACCCGTCGTGCGGGTGAAGAGGAGGAGTACGGATCGTGTGAGTTCCGTAGTCCAGCCCTCTTTTTCTCGCTCTTTTGTCGTCGGTTAAAATATGAAAAGTTGAGGTAACATGATAAGAAGATGCGGCGCTTTTTTATCTTCGCTTTGCACCGGAAAGCTGCCAACTCTTTTTTTTTTTCGTTTGGGCTAATAACTAGCACTTAATTAATAACTTATGATTTTTTTCAACCTTTGTAGTACTTGTATGAGTGCACATTCCGTCAGATCACACCGTGTGAAACGCTGTGAACCATTGAGTCACCACACATGGAGCTTACTTTGGACATTCCACTTACATGCCCCTAAAGTTTTTAAAATTTATACCTGCGTACCTTTCTGCAGATGTGACAATTTTGCTTGGAACTTTTCCACGCAACACTTAATTACAAGCTAAATTTAGAGCTTTTGGGCCCTTATTGTTTGTTGCATTTGCTATTAAAGTAATTCTGTTGGGAATATTAGCTGTTTAGACAATAACGAAAATTAATAATTAACAGATAATGACTATTATAACACAGATATAAGAAGTAATTCAAACGAAAAATAAATATGGTTAGAAATACGGCCTGATGGTCGAGGCGTGCAAGACACTGTCCCAAGAATCTAATTGCCCCCTCTCGTACAGGGCTACGCGGCAAAAGTTCTCGGAGATACAACGACCCTCGGTCAGGCGACCTCCTTCTCGTCGACACGAGCTTCAAGAAGGCTTTGCGAATTCTTCTCGACTTTCAGGGAACCAACAAAGATTTAACAGCAAGAACACGAAGATGAAGAACAGAGAAGAGGAGAGAAAATGTTGTGTTTTTCACTGTGTTTAACCCTTGCATATACCGGTCTTTATATAGGTTGAGAGTCATGTCCGTTATCGCACAAATCCCGCTAACCGTTTCGTTATTTAAGTCCTTAAATCCCGCCCATTTATTTAGCTAGCTGTTTTCATTTTCGCAGTCAAATGATTAACACGTTTTAATTGCTTAGTTCGTTTTAATTGCTTAACAAGTTTTAAATGTTCCAATTAGAAAAAAAATAAAAATTCAAAATGTAGCAGGTTAAGAGCCATCTCAATCCGAAGCTGCATTCGTGTCCGCAGGTCGTGGGCGTGCGCCACCCGACCCGACCCGAACTGAACCCGAGCCCGGCCCGCCCCGCGCGCGCGTGTGTGGTGTGGAGCATAACCCTTGTTTTCTTCTAGGCATAAGAGAGAAGGGAAAGGCTTATAAA